CAGACTTTTAGAGGAAATAGATCTTATGTTAAATAAAACACATTTAATCGTTTTAACTTTTTCCCCAATTGGAGTTATTTTAATTATATTTAGATTATCATGATTTACTCCGTTGGGAATCTCTTTTAATTCGATTTTTGTTGTGGGCAGGACCCTGTCTGGATGGAGTAAAGAGTGGGTAACAGTAGAGAAAGTTTGGGATGAATAAACATTTTCCATCCTCCATAACCGATCCATGGCTCATTTCTGCAGAGAATCACAATCATTGATTAATTTACGGGAAAGTATGACCTCTAGGGGTCAGCAGAGGGACTGAATCATTATGGCTCAATAGCCAAGGTTCTCTCAGATTTTAAAGGTCTTTGTCTCTTCTTATTGGTATTTTTATCCATTGTAATGTTTTGTTTTCTAAAAGTGAAAACTTGATTTTAGCTGAAACGAGTGTCTAACAGGAAGCTGCTGGTGATGTTTGAGGTTCTGGGTTTTTTCCATCTATGGAGCTGAAACACTCACATGGTGTTTGCTTTCACAACAGCTCCAATCACAGGGTGATGCTGGTTCCTCTCGGCACCAGAATCTTTTATCTACATACATGTAACATGGAAGCTGTGAGTGAGGGCAGCTGGGGGGGGGGACGGGGGGGGTCACATCAGACACTCCTACAGGCTCCTGCAGTGTTTGGGCTCAGCAGGTCAGAGTGAAGATAAGAACCCGGCCATGCGACCCAGGATCTTCACCTTTGGAGTTCTACTGGTGGTTCTGACGGCCTCAGGTGAGTCTCAGACCAAAGACTGTTATCTGATCCGGATGCTGTGAGATTTCACCGAGGTTTTCAGAACCAAACTCATTTCACCTGTCATGACTTTGACACCTGATCCTTCTTAGATCACTTTCTCTTACATAAAGCAGCCTTTTATTTTCCTTTTTAAATTTCCTGTTAATGCTTTTTTTCATTCTGCTACACATGTAAGGAAAGAAAGAAAATTCAGTGACATTTTATAAAGATTTCCTAAATTATAAAGAACTTTGTTTTTAAAAAAGTAATTTTTCTGTAACATGTTTAATATCTTATCTACCTCCAAATGATAAAAGCCTGGACTGATGGTTCCTCCATTTCACTTCTTCTGATCCTAGCAGAGCAAAAATACCTTCAAACTCACAGGTTTTTATTTTTACGCCTGTTAAGGCTGTCTTTCATTTTAGTTACTGTGTTTATGGTTGACTGACGATAACAGTTAACCATAAACTGACATTAATCCTGACCCTAACATTAGGGTCAGGATTAATGCTGCAGCCA